GGTAACCCTCCGGCACTCCGGTTTCGAAATCATCCGGAACACTTCTAGTGTCCGAATATAGCCGTCCAATATATCAATTTTTATGTCTCGACCATTTCGAGACTCCTCGTCATGTCCGTGATCACATCCGGGACTCCAAACTAACTTCGGTACATCAAAACTCATAAACTCATAATATAACTGTCATCGAAACCTTAAGCGTGCGGACCCTACGGGTTCGAGAACAATGTAGACATGACCGAGACATGTCTCCGGTCAATAACCAATAGCGGAACCTGGATGCTCATATTGGCTCCCACATATTCTACGAAGATCTTTATCAGTCAGACCGCATAACAATATACGTTGTTCCCTTTGTCATCGGTATTTTACTTGCCCGAGATTCGATCGTCGGTATCTCAATATCTAGTTCAATCTCGTTACCGGCAAGTCTCTTTACTCGTTCCGTAATACATCATCTCACAACTAACTCATTAGTTGCAATGCTTGCAAGGCTTATGTGATGTGCATTACCGAGAGGGCCCAGAGATACCTCTCAGACAATCGGAGTGACAAATCCTAATCTCGAAATACGCCAACCCAACATGCACCTTTGGAGACACCTGTAGAGCTCCTTTATAATCACCCAGTTACGTTGTGACGTTTGGTAGCACACAAAGTGTTCCTCCGGTAAACGGGAGTTGCATAATCTCATAATCATAGGAACATGTATAAGTCATGAAGAAAGAAATAGCAACATACTAAATGATCGAGTGCTAAGCTAACGGAATGGGTCAAGTCAATCACATCATTCTCCTAATGATGTGATCCCGTTAATCAAATAACAACTCTTTGTCTATGGTTAGGAAACATAACCATCTTTGATTAACGAGCTAGTCAAGTAGAGGCATACTAGTGACACTCTGTTTGTCTATGTATTCACACATGTATTATGTTTCCAGTTAATACAATTCTAGCATCAATAATAAACATTTATCATGAAATAAGGAAATAAATAATAACTTTATTATTGCCTCTAGGGCATATTTCCTTCAGTATCCCACTTGCACTAGAGTCAATAATCTAGTTCACATTGCCATGTGATTTAACACCAATAGTTCACATCATTATGTGACCAACACTCAAAGGGTTTACTAGAGTCAATAATCTAGTTCACATCACTATGTGATTAACACCCAAAGAGTACTAAGGTGTGATCATGTTTTGCCTGTGAGAGAAGTTTAGTCAACGGGGCTGCCATATTCAGATCCGTATGTATTTTGCAAATTTCTATGTCAACAATGCTCTGCACGGAGCTACTCTAGCTAATTGCTCCCACTTCCAATATGCATTCAGATTGAGACTTAGAATCATCTGGATCAGTGTCAATGTTTGCATCGACGTAACCCTTTACGACGATGTCACAGCCCCAGTTCAGCCCTTGCTTGACTTTGCTTGTTCATCATGCCATCATGTTTAAATTCCAAAGAAATTTGAAATGGGGATTGTTGAAACCCTAGCACCAAATGAAATTTAACTAGGTTCAATAAAAATATTTTCAATAACCCAGAATGCCTTTTGGAAATGTTCATGATTTCTGTTAAAGGCGAAAACCTCTTCCAAAAATGATGAACATATTTATAGGCTATTCCTGGATTTTTGAATCAAATCTTAAGCTATTTGACTTTGGGCATTTAAACACTATTAATAATTTAAATGCTCAAATAATGTTGGAACTATTTTTGGGCCACAGAAATAATTCAGCAAGTGTCCATGAATATTTTCAGGATTTTAGGAAATGCCTTGGTATTTTTCCTAAGCTCAAAACAGAGGCAAATAAATAGAAAACATAAACAGAAAGCAAAGAGAGAGAGAGAACCTACCTGGTGGGCCAACCGGCCCACCACTGTACCAGCCCAGCCGGGCAAAGCCAGCCCGGCCCACCAGGGGCAGCACTGTCTTCTTCCTCCTGCCAGGAGGAGAAGCAGCTGCGTGCCCGATGGCCGGCGAGCTGCGCTGGCTCCTCCTTGCCTGCGTGCCCCCCCCTCGACTGCCTGGTCGCTGCCACACACACCCCCCAACCCCCTCGTCCTCTCTCACTCTCTCCCGACCTCTTCCCCTCCTCTGCTTCCTCTTCCTCTCTAGCCGAGCACCGCCACGGCCGCGCCGTCGTAACGCCGCAACCACCGGCCCTACAACGCCTCGTTGACGTGTCCATGACCTCCGCCTCGACGCCCTCGTCCTCCTCGTAGACTCGCTCGACGCCGGACGCCCCAAAACGCTGCCCCCGACCCCGTCTTCATCGTTCGGCCGCCGAGATCGCCGGTGACCTCCCGTCTTCATCAGCTCCTCCCCGACCTCGCCGACCCGCTCGTCGTGACCGTGGTGAGCTGCTGGCCATTCCCCCCTCTCCGTTCTCTTCCTCGCGTGCCGTAGCAACCGCTCCAAGCTTGACCGCACCCACCGCCGCTTGCGCCCGCCGCCAATGTGGCCCCGGCAACCAAATGGCCCGGGCGTCGTGTCCAACATGCTCGCTGCCTCGCGTAGCTACTGTAGGTGCCATGAACACGCTACCACGGCCACTGCAGCCCCGTAGCCACAAACTCCCGAACACCGGCGCCGCCCCAAGCTCGTTTCCGGCGAGCTCCTGTCGTCCCCGCTGCTGCCGCATGCCACCCTGGATGCGGGCGAGCCCCAGCTCCCCGCGCGTGCCCTCCGCTGCTTGATTGGGTGCCGGAGGAGCAATTCTGCGCCCTCCACCGCGTCTGCTGCCGCCGGCGGCTAAACGCTGGCGCGTTAGCCCTAGTTGACCAGGGGGTTTGACCTCCCCTGGCTCAATGATAGGTGGGGCCTCCCTACTAACTAACCTAGATTAGGATTAACTAATCCTAGCTAATTTAGCTTAGCTACCGACATGTGGGCCCATGCCCCACTGACACTTTAGTTAGGACTAAATTAGCACTAACAGTCTTTGTTAATTAGCCTAGTCACTGACCAGTGGGTCCTAGCGTCAGGTTTGACCTGGGCTGACGCTGTTAACTTGATGACATCATTCTGACGTCAGGCTGACGCAGTAATGCTTTCTGGATTTTAAATAAATCAGAATTGATTTATTTAATTCAAAAAATGTCCAAAACTTCCAAAAATCATAGAAATTCAACCGTAACTCCAAATGAAATAATTCATATATGAAAAATTATCAGAAAAATCCAATCTATCCATTTATGCTACTTTCATGCATGTTCAACCAACTTATACCCACTGTATAAGTGAAAACATGATAATGGCATTTTAAATGCTAAATATGGAG